AAAGGATGGGCCTGTCCCAGAGTGACCATATAATTTATCTTCCAAATCAGGATGCATTTGAGTTAAAGGGGGTGCTATTAATAATTATGCCCCAAACTCAGGTGTAAATCAGGCTTGTCCTGTGAAAACTGGGATGTATTGTCACCTTACCTGCACCCTACACAAGAACATGGGGACTGAGCCCCCTCTAGGCCTAAACTAATCTTGCTGGGAGTGGTTTTCAGGTTAGGAAGATGGCTAGAGCTGAAAACCTCTGCAAACTCTTAAATTAAAAAAAAAAAAAGGTTGAAAACAAAGAAATGGAGAAATTTTAATGCAACAGAAATAGCATGGTACCCTTCCCCTCCCCCGCCTGTCCTGCCTGGGAATGTGCTTTTCCTGCATCCCCAGGCTGGCGAGCACCCTGGTTGGTGGGGTCCCAGCCCTACAGGTAGCACACCTGTCCCATGTGTTACATTCAACTGCTGCTCCGGTGTTGATGGGCTGGCTGGCCTCGGCCCCTGGCTTGGTGTCCTTTGCTTGGCCCTCTCTCTCTGCTAATGCCAGATGGGCCAAAGGACTCAGCCAGGTCAGCCTCAGGTGGAATAAACCCATCCTGCTCCTCCCTCCCCAGGTATATCCGTCCCTGGGGACTCCCTAGAGGGGCTCCATCCCTGGGTAGGACAGAGTCCTCAGGCTGGGGCAGCTCTGTGGGCAGCAAGATGCCCCCTCGCCCCCTGTGGCATCGCTCAGACTCAGGGGTGCCCCCGTCTCACAGCTGGTCCTCGTCCACCCAGATGGTCTTGCGCTGCTCCTCGGCGATCTTGTCTTTGATGACGCGGAGCAGCTCCTCCACGCTGCCCCACATCTCGGCCTCCACCGTGGCGTACAGGCACGGCAGCGCCTCCAGCTCCTTCTCCTTCAGCCGGCACACGCGCAGGAACTCCTCCTCCGTCTCAGGCCGGGGCAGCAGCTTCCTGGCAGGAGAGATACGTGGGGGGCTGTGGCTGAGGCTGGACTGCCATGGTGTCGGACAATTGTCTGCCAACCCCTGGGAAAGCCTCAGGAAGTGGTGCTGATGCAGTGCCCACCTGCCCAGCCACTGTGGTGCCAGAGTCCCCCTCGCTTCTCTGACCACCTCTGACCACCCCACTGACCGCTGCTGCTCCCCACCTCCTCCCTGCCCTGAAGCTCCACAGCGTCCACCACCTCCTAACACACGGTGTTCTGTCCTTTTATGTCCTTCATATGGAAATCCCAAGAAGTGGGGATTTAAAAAAAATTGTTTTTAATTGTGATAAGATAAACATAAAATAAAATGTGTCATTTAAACTATTTTTAAGGTATGTAGTTCAGTAGTACTAGGTCTATTCGTACTATTTTGCAACCACTTTCCAGAACTACTTCATCTTCCCAAACTGAAACTCTGCACCCACTGAACACGAACTCCCACTTCCCCTCCTCCCAGCCCCTGGCACCCACCCTTCTACTTTCTGTCTCTATGAATCTGACTACTGTAGGGACCTCATGTACATGGAATCACACAGTATCTGTCCTTTTCTGACTGGCTTTTTTCACTCAGCACAATGTCCTCAAGGTTCACTCACGTTACAGCACGTGTCAGAATTTCCCTCCTTTTTAGGGCTGAATCACATTCCATTGTGTGGATGGGCCACATTCAGTTTATCCATTCAGCCATCGGTGGACACTTGGGTTGCTTCCACCTTTTAGCTCTTGTGAATAATGCTGCTATGAACGCGGGTGCACAGATGTCTTGAGACCCTGCTTTTGATTCTTTTGGGTGTGTACCCACAAGTGGGATTGCTAGACATACGGTAATTCTATTTTTAGCTTTTTGATGCATCATTGTACTATCTTTCACGGCACCATTTTAAATTCCTATCAGCAGTGCACAAGATTCCAATGTCTCCACATCCTCCAACACTTGCCATTTTCGGTTTGCTGCTAGTGGCCATCCTGATGGGTGTGAGGTGGTGAGTAGGGATTTTTGTCTCGTTTGCACTTAATGGGTACTCAGCAGATATTTGGTGAAAAAGAACGAAGTGGCCTAACCTCTCATAGTCTCAGTTTCCCCCTCTGTAAAATGGGGTCATGACATTCATTTTGTAGTCGTGAACGAAGAGAGATGGGGGTCCAAGACAGTGCCACTTACAGGCAGGTCTGTCCTCATTGCTCAGGCCCCGAACTTCAGGGCCATCCTCTCTTTCTTTCAAACCCCATAGCTAACCCTTTCACAAACCCTGCAGGCTCGACCTTGAACACAGGTCCAGAGTCAGACTGTTTCTCATGGTCTCCCAGACAGGACCCTGGCCCTACACTGTCATCCTCACCTGGGTTTATCAACACAGAGGCAAGAGGGAGCCTTTTGCATACTGAGTTAGACTATGTCACTCCTCTGCTCAAAACCTTCACGAGGAATAAGATGGTCCTTCCTGGTCTACACCCGCTTCCTCTCTCTGCTCTGTCCAAACTCTGGAGTCCGTGGGGCTGTCCCTGCCTCAGGTTCTGGGTGCCCGCTGTTCCCTCTGCCCAGACTGCTTCTCCTTTAACATCTGCCCTGCCCTCCCCTCGCTGCAGTGGGTCTTGTGGGCTCATCCTCATGTCCCTCCCCAACCACCCAGGTGTTGTGGCACCCCACCCTGTCCCTTCTAGTGCTTGTCTCCACTGGATGTGTCCTACATGTATGAGTCACTGTCTCCACTGCAAGGTCAGGGGCTGTGTCTGCCCTGGACTGGGGTCCTGCCCTCAATGAAGATTTACTACAGGGATGGGCGGAGGGACAAAAGCACCCAGGGGAGACGTTAGGGAGAGGAGGGGGTGGCGCGGGGAGACCCTACCTGAACCTCTTGATGTTCTTCTCAGATACCCGGATGAAGAGCACGATGGGGTAGATCTTGGACTTGATCAAGTCCCTCGTGCAGCTGATCCCGGCCTCCAGCAGACAGTGCTTGTTCTGTGGGCACAGCAGCCAGAAGTCAGCAGGGGGCCCCAACCTTCCCCAACCTATGGGGGCACCCGGATGGGGACTGGACATAGCATTAGGCTCCAGGGGACAGATGGGGCGGTGGTGGGAAGAGCCCTGAGGGCCATTGGCTGAACCAGATAAAAACCCAAGGTGAAGCTGGGCCTCAGGGAGACAAGGCCCCCGCACATCTGGACACCTTGCGTGACTCTACTGAGCACAGCGATCTCGATCTCATCAGCAGAGACCAGGCACAGTCTGGGGTGAATTAGGCAGCGTGAACAAGTTTGGATGAAACACCTGCTACTGTACTGGCCTTCAAAGGCATTCTCAATACTAGCGAGAGGGTGGAAAACACATGAAATGTGAGGCAGGCTGGAAGGTCCTAGGTATCTGCAAGTGTTCTTAACCATGAGCCTGTCATTTCTGAGAAAGGACAATTCCTGCTTTGCTGAAGGCATCACTTAAAAGCAAACAAAATTTTCCCCAAATTTTAAGTGCACAGCTCAATGGATTTCATGAACTGAACATACCCAGGTCCAGAGGTGGAAAGGACCAGCCCAGAGCCCTCTCAGGCTACCTTCCAATCACTGTGATCTCAATCCATCACCCACCCGTCACCATGTAGCCACTACCTGGACTTCTAATGGCACAGATTCATCAGACAGCATCACCTTTTCAGCTAAAACGATCTTGGCTCCAACCCGGCCTGCTCACCTCCTGTCCACTCCAGCTATCAGAATTTTCTAATCTGCTACGTCCCAGACTTTTTTAAAAACAACAAACTGCTCCCGGCTGGCTGATGGCTCTGCCTGTGCTCTTATCTGTGTAAGTGACAATGTGGAGAGGGCACAGGAGTGACCATCAGCTCGGTGGCAAGCATGGAGTTCCTGGCTGGGCACTGTCCACCATGGAGCCAACCCCCCAGGACTCTGGGGTAGCATCCCACTGCCACAGGCTGAGAGCTTTTCTTCCATTGAGTTCTTGAACAAGAACCCAATGCTGAGGGCTGATGAGGGTCACATCTGCACAGATGCCTTTTCTGCATTACTGCCAATAACTCTTCTGATGTCCTGGTTTCCTCTCGTTTGGCGGACGCAATGACTGCCACCCACTTGTGCGTCCTATCTCTCGCTCTGACATGCTCCCTCTCTACCTCTGGTCCTGTTATCACAGCCAGACACACACACCCCTAAACAATGCAAACTAGCATACCAGCACCAGGAAGCCATCTAAAATAGAAGGCAGTTCCAAAATCTAAACCCACGTCAGAGCCCAGAGAATGAGGGCATGGAAAGTTAACATGGGGCAGGTGTAGACAGGAGGGGAACGAGACAGTTTGGCCATGAGGAGGTGAGAGCGACTGTTCACCCCACCCTCGCCCATGGCCCAGGTGGCTTCACAAGGATAATCAGGCCGGTGTCATGGCCCCGACCAGCCTCCCAGCACCCCAGCACCCCCTTACCTTGGCTGCCACAGCCTCGATGTTGGCAGGAACGACACATTCAAAAGTGTTGGCGTTCTTCTCGCGGGAGTAGATGATGGTCTCTGTCTTCTGCTTTCTGAGGAACTCCTCCCTTGTGACAATATCTGCAGAGAGAGGGGTCTGTCCTGAGGGTGGCACAAGGTGGTCTTGGGTGGACTGTCTCACCCAGGCCCTGACTGCCTCTTTCTGGGCTCTACAGAACTTGTTGTCTGATCCCCTTCTAGCCATGTTTAAATGAATCTTGTCTACTCCACTAGACGGTGAAGCTCCTTGAGGGCAGGGCCGAGGTGACACTTCTTCACTCCTCATGGCAGCCCACCCAGCAGGTGTTTAGTAAATACTTGTGCTTTGGCTTCTCAACAGTAAGTTCTGCCGGACAAAGCAGCTCAGGCGCTGTGGTGCAATTCTGATCACCAGTTGCCAATCATGAAGAATCTCCTGCTTCATCCATCCATCCATCCACCCACCCACCAATTCACCCATCACCCATCATCCTCCATCCACCTACCCAGCATCCACCCACCCATCCATCAGTTTATCCATCCATCCATCCATCTATTCATCCATCCATCTACCCATCCATTTATCCATCCGTCCATCCATCTATTCATCCATCCATCTACCCACCATCCATCTACCCATCCATCAGTTTATCNGGAATAAGATGGTCCTTCCTGGTCTACACCCGCTTCCTCTCTCTGCTCTGTCCAAACTCTGCAGTCCGTGGGGCTGTCCCTGCCTCAGGTTCTGGGTGCCCGCTGTTCCCTCTGCCCAGACTGCTTCTCCTTTAACGTCTGCCCTGCCCTCCCCTCGCTGCAGTGGGTCTTGTGGGCTCATCCTCATGTCCCTCCCCAACCACCCAGGTGTTGTGGCACCCCACCCTGTCCCTTCTAGTGCTTGTCTCCACTGGATGTGTCCTACATGTATGAGTCACTGTCTCCACTGCAAGGTCAGGGGCTGTGTCTGCCCTGGACTGGGGTCCTGCCCTCAATGAAGATTTACTACAGGGATGGGCGGAGGGACAAAAGCACCCAGGGGAGACGTTAGGGAGAGGAGGGGGTGGCGCGGGGAGACCCTACCTGAACCTCTTGATGTTCTTCTCAGATACCCGGATGAAGAGCACGATGGGGTAGATCTTGGACTTGATCAAGTCCCTCGTGCAGCTGATCCCGGCCTCCAGCAGACAGTGCTTGTTCTGTGGGCACAGCAGCCAGAAGTCAGCAGGGGGCCCCAACCTTCCCCAACCTATGGGGGCACCCGGATGGGGACTGGACATAGCATTAGGCTCCAGGGGACAGATGGGGCGGTGGTGGGAAGAGCCCTGAGGGCCATTGGCTGAACCAGATAAAAACCCAAGGTGAAGCTGGGCCTCAGGGAGACAAGGCCCCCGCACATCTGGACACCTTGCGTGACTCTACTGAGCACAGCGATCTCGATCTCATCAGCAGAGACCAGGCACAGTCTGGGGTGAATTAGGCAGCGTGAACAAGTTTGGATGAAACACCTGCTACTGTACTGGCCTTCAAAGGCATTCTCAATACTAGCGAGAGGGTGGAAAACACATGAAATGTGAGGCAGGCTGGAAGGTCCTAGGTATCTGCAAGTGTTCTTAACCATGAGCCTGTCATTTCTGAGAAAGGACAATTCCTGCTTTGCTGAAGGCATCACTTAAAAGCAAACAAAATTTTCCCCAAATTTTAAGTGCACAGCTCAATGGATTTCATGAACTGAACATACCCAGGTCCAGAGGTGGAAAGGACCAGCCCAGAGCCCTCTCAGGCTACCTTCCAATCACTGTGATCTCAATCCATCACCCACCCGTCACCATGTAGCCACTACCTGGACTTCTAATGGCACAGATTCATCAGACAGCATCACCTTTTCAGCTAAAACGATCTTGGCTCCAACCCGGCCTGCTCACCTCCTGTCCACTCCAGCTATCAGAATTTTCTAATCTGCTACGTCCCAGACTTTTTTAAAAACAACAAACTGCTCCCGGCTGGCTGATGGCTCTGCCTGTGCTCTTATCTGTGTAAGTGACAATGTGGAGAGGGCACAGGAGTGACCATCAGCTGGGTGGCAAGCATGGAGTTCCTGGCTGGGCACTGTCCACCATGGAGCCAACCCCCCAGGACTCTGGGGTAGCATCCCACTGCCACAGGGGGTGGCAAGCATGGAGTTCCTGGCTGGGCACCTGACACTGCTGTCCCCAAGGGCACTGTCCACCATGGAGCCAACCCCCCAGGACTCTGGGGTAGCATCCCACTGCCACAGGCTGAGAGCTTTTCTTCCATTGAGTTCTTGAACAAGAACCCAATGCTGAGGGCTGATGAGGGTCACATCTGCACAGATGCCTTTTCTGCATTACTGCCAATAACTCTTCTGATGTCCTGGTTTCCTCTCGTTTGGCGGACGCAATGACTGCCACCCACTTGTGCGTCCTATCTCTCGCTCTGACATGCTCCCTCTCTACCTCTGGTCCTGTTATCACAGCCAGACACACACACCCCTAAACAATGCAAACTAGCATACCAGCACCAGGAAGCCATCTAAAATAGAAGGCAGTTCCAAAATCTAAACCCACGTCAGAGCCCAGAGAATGAGGGCATGGAAAGTTAACATGGGGCAGGTGTAGACAGGAGGGGAACGAGACAGTTTGGCCATGAGGAGGTGAGAGCGACTGTTCACCCCACCCTCGCCCATGGCCCAGGTGGCTTCACAAGGATAATCAGGCCGGTGTCATGGCCCCGACCAGCCTCCCAGCACCCCAGCACCCCCTTACCTTGGCTGCCACAGCCTCGATGTTGGCAGGAACGACACATTCAAAAGTGTTGGCGTTCTTCTCGCGGGAGTAGATGATGGTCTCTGTCTTCTGCTTTCTGAGGAACTCCTCCCTTGTGACAATATCTGCAGAGAGAGGGGTCTGTCCTGAGGGTGGCAC